CCTGACTAATCTAACATTCGCCTCTGGGCTGCCCTAGATGGCGAATGTTAGATTAGTCAGGTATAACAGCAATTGTGGCACCTACAACTGCTTCCATAGCTTCACTTGTTACGATCCTCTTTGAACTTAAAAAGCGCAAAGGTGTCGACAGTCAGAATCATAGCATCCGAATAAAAGTAAATAAAAGAACAGAAGTCACCGCATCGCCGAGGTCCCTTGGTTCTTCTACTTTCCAGCCGCAGATTTTCGTAATCAGACGTCCACACGCCAGGCAGACTGCTTCCGCCTGGCAGCCGTCCGGCTTGATACATGAAACCCTTATTAGCTGTCAGTCACCGCTCGGCACTTACTCTAACATCGTACTAGTGTGAATTGCTCCCCTGTCGTGGTCTGAAACACAGCCACAGTGCTCGCCATTGAGCCGGCGCTTAGCTGTGCACAAACAGCCCCCAACTGCGAAATCCATACACCATCTTGTAGGGCTTAGCCGGCCGACACAGACAATTAGGCATTCTAGACGCATATTTCAGCGCGAGTGGGTTGTAGTGTGACTGCGGGGTGAAACTGCCTCTCCAAGGACCCCACCGCTGTTGGGCAAATCCTGGACATGGGTTGCCTCATAATATGAGACGTGACATATTCACCAAGTTTTTGCTCGCCACCATAGGTTTCAAAACATTGGTCGTGGTTCGTACAGGCCACGATCGAATATCGAAACTCACGATGTTCAAAAGCTATTAGGCTTGAACATCGTGCCAAGCTTGCCATGGGCCGCAAGACTGGGGATCATATTGTTACTTCCGCACCAGGAAGTGTACAAGACGAGTCTGACGCGTCTGGGTACACTGACATGTGGAGGGACCTAACTCAGAAGCTTGACAACAACCCAGAATTCCTAACATTGAACGAAGTGCACGATCGAGAGTCATTAGAAGCACTTATCCGCAAAGTCCGCGATGAGTATTCCGAGTTCCAGGACGCGGGGGGGTCAAAAGCTAGGCGGGTTGGAAAGAAAGTGCAGGTGGTGTGTGCCGCAGTATCACGACTTCTCGAAAACTATTCAGGAATTGCCGAGATTATCAAAGGCATCGACTCGAGAGGTGGGCCCCTTGCATATGGAACGTTATCTATCATAGTATCTGTGCGTATTGCCGGGCATCAACCATTATGGCTGCTGATGAATATCTAGATTGCTCGGCACAAGCAATTACACGAAGAGCGTATTACTTCAAACTTACTTCAGATCAGCGACTGGCTTGAAGACCTCCGAGATTACCAGAATATCTGGCACGAGGGAGAAAATCAAGTACTGACAAGGCTAGCAATTGAAGTTCACAGACATATGCTCCATTTTGTATTGGGCGTGTGGAATTATTACTCCGGCTCCCGTGCTAGTGAGTCAACAATCCCTAGGGGAGCTGCGATTCTTGACCTAACATATAGTGTCTCCAGGCAGGATATGGCAAGCCATGCGAAATTCATCCAAGCATAGCTTGGAAGTTGAGTTGCAAAATTTACGGAGTGCTATAAAAAGGGCGCTAGGAGAGACACGAAAACTTCACCACAAGGAGAACAGAGAGATGGCCCGCAGAATTGAAGACTTAGAAAGACAAAATATCAGTACGTGTACCCGCGGCGATGAAAGGTATATTTTTGCAAGAGACTGACATAGTTTTAGCGCTTATTAATAAAGAATGGACAGATAGCCTATCCAACATTCGCAATCAGTTGGCATGCACATCACCTATCAACGTGGAAAGTTATGCTCGAGATTTGAGGCTTGATCGAATAGCCCTGGCAGCAGACGACGGAAGCGTGTCTACCGAAGGTCATGACAGCCTGGAGAGTCTAAATCAGTGTAAGGACTTCAACGAGTGGGCTCTGTGTGACAAAAGCTGCATGATCTTGTTACGAGCCATACACGGAGACGGGTCCAATGTCAGCCGGCCTTTATGGCTTTCACCAGCTCTCGCTGACTACGCGTCATCATTACCCGAGCAGGGTGGGAAGAAATTGTTCTATGCCGTACAGAAGACTTCAGAGAAGCCGGCGTCCATTCTGTCACACATAATCTGCGAGATCCTATCATGGGATCGGAGCTTTTTTGACCAGCAGAAGCAGATCGTCCATCATACATTAGCATCGATAGACCTCCGCAGCGACAATTTCGATGCACTTCTAGACTTGTTCAGTCGACTGGCAAAGTCTTGGTACGTTCAGCATCCTGGGGATACGTTCTACATCATCGTTGATAGACTCGACGGCTTCCTCCAAAAGGATCACAGTGGGGTAGCTTTGAGGCAGGTTTTCCAGTTGCTAGAAGAGGTACTGCAGCTGATGCATAGTGTTAATGGGGTCATTAAAACTTGCTTTCTCGTCCAAGCCGGCGTCTGGCACGAGAACCCAGGGCTTCACTGGCAGCTTAATAATGCTGTAAATAAGAATTCGACACAATACTTCAAGGACCCGGGGCTGTGGATTCAAACTGATCCCTCGGATTGAAGAAAGTAACGTCAATGATATCATTATGATAGTAATTCGAAGGATAATTATACTCACATCCAAACTCCAACGCCAAGATCCTAAACGGTCTACAGCCTGGTTCTCATATTTCGAGTTCGGAAGTCGGCGTATTGTCGTTTTGGGTGAGATAGCCCTGTTGATTATCTTATGGGTATACGTCACACCATTACAGTTGACGATTCTTATTACCTTGTGAAGTCTTGAATAAACGCGTCAACAAACAGGCAACCGTCATCAATCCATGAATTAGTTGAAAACTACGCATGATCATGGACAAGATATTTCGCGCATGGGCTTACCGCTTATCAAACATCAACTGGGAAACCAAAATGTCAGCACCTATTATAGTGCAACTACCAGGGCTTCGTGGCCAGGATGACGTTAGGGCGGGCTAGTGTTAACCGGAGCCTATCGGTAGGCCCAATAGCAGGAGGAGCATTACTACGGTAAGGTAGATCGCCCGCGGACTCCGACACACTAAGAGCCGCGGGACGCGGCCTTTCACGCCGAATAAAAGAGGCTGAATTGTCTTGATTGACATGTAGTTGTCTTCATTGTGGGAGCACGAGTAAGAGTAGCAAAATGGGCCATCACAATCGTCACTATTCCGGTGATCCTTACGCACATAGTGGCGTTTGGGGGTCACCAACAAGTGCTGCGAAGTAAGTCAGTCCATTCATTTGTGGTACTGATGTTGAAAATATCGTCACTTATACTAGGGTAGCTTTTGTGAGGAAGATTACGTTGTGACCAAATATTTAGCAGAATTCGTCAACACACTTACAAATTTGGCCTATGGTAATAGATAATCCCCCACACAGCCCGCATTTTGCCCTCTAACTACTTAAATCAGTCTATTACGCTGTGCGATATCCTGGGCGGCCTGTAGGAAAGGCATGGTATAGACTCGATTTCATGGCATGGTCGTTGTTCTTAGTAGGAGTTGGCTCTCTGCTCTTTCACGCCACATTACTTCAGACCTGCCAGTACTCCGACGATTTATCGATGTTTCTCCTCGCAGGTGCTCTGTTACAAGCATTGTATACCTTCAATCAGACCAACACTCTTAGTCACGTTATTAGTACCGTTATCGCATTGAGCATTGGAGGCATTTCCGTTCTCTACGTCCAATCAGGCAGTCTCCTTTTCCACTCAACAGCATTTGCCACGTTTCTTACGTTCATCTGGCCACGGACATTGTACCTCGTGTACCAGACAAATCGTCCTCAACGGGAAGTCAGCCGATTAATCAGAAGGTTTTGGAGAGCCGTCGCAGTGCTGTTAGTTGGGTTCATAATCTGGAATGTTGATTTGGAGTATTGTTTCCCTCTGCGGAACATGAGACGTAAATTAGGTTTGCCTTGGGCATGGCTCCTGGAAGGTCATGGCTGGTGGCACATCTTGACGGCAGCTGGAGCAAGCGAGTATATCAAATTAACCCGAGAATTAACGCGTATGTTGTCCCTGGTTGTGTTTATAGACAGCGATTGACTTTGGTTTACAGATTAGAGACTCATCATCATCTTGCATCATCGCATTTGTCAAATCTTAGGATATCTTCCGACTAAAACACGTACGAAGTGTAGAACAATAGATTGTTAGCTTCTGAAAAGGAGCAAATTGTGTTGATTTGATGAATACGTGACTATGGTTATTCAACATTGTTTATCGCTTGCATTTGTTCACACTTGCTCCTCCAGTCCACTGCAGAGTAGTGGGTATCAGAGGTTGGATCACCTTCAACCACACTGTCTCGTACAGTCCTGGTGCGCCACCAGCAGCTGTGCTACCTGGCTCCAAACTTCCCAATTGGGCAGAGTCAGTGCAGCAAGGTGACGCGTTGCCCCAGAATGGACCAGCTGCCCATGCAGTCCATCCGAGGTATTCTGAGTTATCCTCCATGTACTCCAGCGCATCTTGCAGCATTGTAGCGCAACCAGTGGTATTGGAGCCTCCAAACTCCGTAATCATTGCCTTTAGGTTGTGATCTTTCAGCCACGCAGTTAGCTTGTCTAAGTTGGTTGCAAAGGGTTGTGTGCACTCGGTATGGCCGCCGCTATAGTCTTGATCGAGATACTCGTGGATGTCAATGACGAAGTTCTTGGCCGAGTCATTAATCAGATGCATATAGTCAGAATTGGGCAACAATTCGCCTCCCCAGTTTTCCGTCCAGCTATGACCCCCAGTCCACTGGTTTCCCGGGACTAGAATGAGGTTTTCGGCTCCGGCAGCTCGTATGGCATTCACAGCAGCCTGATTATTTGCCAAAACAAGGGTGGTAGGCATGTCATGGGGCTCGTTCATAAGCCCAAACATGACACGATCATTGTCCTTGAAGCGGCTCGCCAGCTCTCCCCAAAAAGCACCAAACTGCTCGGTTGTGGCGGCTGTTGGGTCAGATGTGTTGCCTATGACACTTCCGGAAAATGGCTGTGATGAAGGGTCATTATATCGCATATAGTTATGTGGATCAAGAATGGCGTCTACAAAAGTCAGACCAGGCATGCGACAACACGATATTGATAGCTACTCACATGCCTTCTTGGTCACTGTGATATAATCGATGGCCTGCTTGTAGAAGTCAAAGTGCTTTACGTCTGTCAGCAAGCTCACCCCCAATCAATTGATTATTTCAGTTCTCGGCGCATACCGTTTCATTGAACTTCGCACCAAGACCATACGACAGGGGGCACATGCGCTCTAGGAGGAAGGCCACACGAAACGTATTGACCTTATTTTGGTCGACAAACACATCAACTGCTGCCGTATTGATAAATGAATAGTCCACGCCAAAGCGACCTGGTAAGCCGGTACCCGGAGTAGCAGAAGCACTCCAGACACCAAACTCGCCACTGGACTCGGCAACTCCAGCATACAAGATTGTAGCCGAGGCCCCCACGATGGACGTTGCGATTGCTAAAGCTGGCTTCATGTTGGGCTTCTGATGACCTTGCGGATCGCAAAGAATCTTGGGGACTCAGACTTTCTGGGCGGATGCCTGTTGTCTTTTATGAACATCTTGAAGGTTAGACATTCTACAGAGGGTTGTATCGGACCCCCCAGGTACCGGGAATGCCACCCCAAGCGATCAACATCGGAAATTGAGGCCACAACCAATCCGTGCTTGCTTGCCGGGCTTCTAGGAATTGCCATCCGGGAATGACACCGCAGGTATACTATAGAAATCGCTTGCAGCTTGTGGCATGCAAGGTACCGGCAATCTGTCCTTGTTTATTCGAGAGCTAGCCCGCCTAGGCGAAGCTTGTTGTGGGGAGATGGAGATGCTTCCTCCGTGCCCAATCTTAGCCAAAACGAACACGGAATCGGCCATCACACGGCGAATGCTGTTCCGCTCTCGAACACCTGTAGATTCTCCAAGTTGCTGTGCAAGATGCTTCCAAACTCCACATTGCTATACTTTCTCTACTTGAAATTTAAGGTTTTGTAATTCGATGATTGAATAAAAGCAAACTCCCTATAAGCACTGAAACAAAGCCCCACAAGGTCGTATTACACTAATCTTCGAATTTGCATCAAAAGTTCCTGGTCATTCTGACAAATTTTCACTTATCTTGTCTACCGATTTAATCTGCATTGAGATCAGGGAATGACCATATCGTCGGTATCGATCGGGATTTACGCCTGGGAAACTTGGTAGCAATCGCTCGATCATCGCAGCCTAACACCGAGAAGATGACATCTCGATGTGCTCCACAAATGGTGGACCATCCTCCATCAGACGTAAAGGACTGCTTGAACCTTGCGTTTTGAGAATTGCAGCTTTGTTCCGTCGTATCCTCCTCCTAAACCAGAGCAGCCAAACTGCAAGGACAATAACCGTCAGAGGCACGGCGACGGCTGGCATGACCCATACTTTGTGCGAGACGCTCATGAAACTCGAACCGGCTTCAAAAAACGGTGTACTGAAGACACCCTGAGTAGGTTCAGGTTAGTCGTAGGAAGCACAAGTCAGCAAGTAGAGACGACGTACTGCGACAAATGTTGGGGGAAGAAAAATCATTGTGACGACAGCTAGTGTGAACATAGATGTGCTATCTCTCTGACTCTGTAGTGCCACTAGTGTGGTCACATTCGATATGTGCTGGTTGACATGATTGTCATGCTGGGCAGCAAGATGATGTAGCTATGAGATATCAGTTTTCTGACTAATTTCCTTCTAAGATTGACCATACGAGGTTTATCCTGCTTTGTGTCCTATCTCGATATGTCATAGCCCATCGTTTGTAAAATTGACAAGTGGAGTTGAGTTGCTCCAGTGGCTGATCACAGCCCTCCAAGCTTTCCCGCCCCGGAATGAGCATACGATACAATTCTTTGAGATTGCATAAATGCTCTTCGAGATCTAAAAGATCTTTGCAGATCGTATGCCAATTGACAGATAGATCGTGTAAACGTTTGGTCTGTTCACCGATAGGCGACTGATCGGTCTCTTTCTCAATACTAATGAGCTTGGTGTTTCTTTCTGAGATGGCACGGCGGTAGCTGTTGAGTAATTCATCGGCAACCAAGACATCGGTGTAGAACAGTTTGCTTGCACTTGTTATGTTGCTCTTGACAGCCTCTACTATGTAGTTGATCATTCGTGGGGGGAAGTTAACGCAGAAGTAAGTCGTTGTGGAAAGGTCAGTCCGAGATTGAACGAAGGAGTGAGCCGAGTCGGGCTCGTCCCAAGTCCAGAAGCCGTAATGAATTGCTATCTCTTTGTTAATGATCATGAATATCAACCGAGTTAGGAGTATTTACTACCAAGAGATTCCAATTTTCTGTCACTATCTTTCCGCAAAGTTGATCCAAACGCTAGCCTTGTCCAATCCTCTGTTTCGTAGACGTTTGATATGAACTTCTCAGATAGACCCGATTCGTCACGAAGAAGAGTCAATACTGTCGGATCAACATGAACGTGAAAACTTTGCCGACTTCGGCGACCACTTATGAAACTGGATAGAGAAGTTAGATGAGAATCGAAGAAACAAGAATCAGGATGAGCAGCATACAAAACTTTAAGCCGCGTGGTCTTGGGATGGGCTTTTCGTCCTTTTAGCCATTTCTCGAGTGACTCGGGGTCCAAATGCGGCGACCAATCTCCCTGGCTTAGCTATTTACATGCGACATTCGGCATGAGGTCATTTCTCACCTACTTGCTGGCTGTCACTTACTTCGAGAATCGAAGTCAAGGAAGAGTTCCGACAACAATTCGAAGCAACACTAATCGTGTCTTTGAACTGTGGTTGGAAGACAAGCTCCCCTAGATGATTCATTATCACCGTAAATGTCTGGAAATTTGAGGCTTTTCTTACTTTTGTGTGGTTCAGAGGAGACTATGGAAGTAGACGGAGGCGAGGCTCTAAATAGGTGAAGTCTCGGAACTGGAGGCCTGAAGAGAGCGACGCGGGGTTCCTCCAGAGAGCGAACGCCTGAGGCTGACTAGAGCAATTTCTTTTTGTCACTTGCATGCCTTAAATGGTGCTGCTTTAAGCTAGAGCCACACCACAGATCAAAGAACTGAGTTCAAAGATAAATAGAGCGAGCAAGAATGTCTATTTGATGTTAAGAATGCTGTACAAGCGGCCGAAGAAGAGCTGAAAAGCGGAGAGTGTCAGCAGATAGGCAGAGCCATACCAGCCCACGTCGTTGAGTGCATGAAAGTTATCAGTGATTCGAGGGATCGCCGCTGCAAAGATGGTGTTATTCAACGCAACACAAAGAACAGCCAGTTCTCATCCAATGATGATGATAGCTAATTTCAATCGCTTTGGATAGTTCTCTATATCCTCAGCAACCCCCCATCTTGAGCGTCAGCCTTTTCCAATGAATGAAGATCAGCTGGCAGTTCGATGTTCGATACAATATCATTGTCGGTGGGCTCTAGAGACTGTGCTAATGGCTTCGCAGAGGGAATGGAAGATCCTGGTTTCTCGGACTAGTGTCCATAGACGACTGTCGAAACACCCGTGATTTCGGTCTTTAGTCTCTCCAAGTCGTTGTTCGGCAACATGTACGTTAGGGGTATCTCGATAGGAGAATCGGCGGTTTCCATGATAGGTACGTCTCTAGCCTCTAGATATGATTATGAAAATATGAAATGTGTCATTTGTCCTCTTGAAATGCACAAAGGGCCCTAGCTACTCCGCTGGGAGGCTAATAGGACAGTATCAACGAGTTGGTTATAGGCATACTTGATGCTGGCGGGACGTGTTTCAGATAGGATATCGAAGCCTCTCTCACATATTCACGGAACCGACCAAACGCGAGCATCATCTATATAGTATCACAATTCATTAATAGCCCTGGTGGAAGACCTAAGTGATGGCAATTGTTCCCCATTGACACCGTCCTGGCTGAACAAGGTACCCACCCCGGTTGTCAGGATTCACATCAACGTCTTGACCGCTTCTGGTTGGCGGACATCGCTCGGGTGGGTAGCTCAGTTACAGAGAAAGACTTAACTACGAAATTTGGTCCTATCACACATACTATTGGTCTTTGTGGATGTACTCGATCTGGGTTAGAAAACTATGTCCGATGCAGGTACACGCAAATACAGGCACCTTCTCCACCAGAATGACTTCGCCGAGGAGATAACTTCTATCTATCTCATGACTAGAACTTAGATGGTCATGAACGGGGCTCCGTTTAATTTGTTATCGTGTCGTCAAGGTGGAATAAGAGTGCGCGGTAGCGAAATACCGCCCTTTCGGGTACTTTCCAAGCGGAAGTTCTCACTAACAACAGCTCTCAAAATTTAACCCATAATCGCCAGACGCTACAGCTAGAATAGGACTTTTCCTGGTCCTCGGTTGAGTTCATTTAGCATTTAGCATCTACATATACAGCTCCTTTATCCCCTGCATTGTTTGAAAATTTGACGGCCACTGCCTATAATGCCACTGGTGAGTTAAAGCAGCGAGTGGCTGAGCCGAGCTGCTGTGTGAGACAGCCCTGCCCCCCACGATTTGGCGCTCACAGGCCAATAAGCAAGCAATGTGACAGATGGAGAAAAGCCCTGCCAAAACTTAGCGGCGCCAAACACCTCCAGCCGTCATGGTGTACATTTAGGCTGGTGCACCATCATTTCAACCCAAACCCGTCTCCTTCACCATCCACCCAAATGACAATGTTCGTCGGTGGATCTGGCATGTCGGTGAAGAACCGCCGTATCTCCTCGTCACTGTATCTTAAACTGAAGTGCATCACTACAAAGGTAGTCTTTGGCCATCTTCTAACAACCTTTTCGAGATCAGCCCAGTAGGTATGCTTAGTTTTGACAGCCTGGTCCTTGTGCTCCTCATACAGGAAACTGCACTCGGTTATGACCACAGGAATTCCCTCCTGAAGCCATATCGGATCAGATGCTAATGTTGCCGCTGTTGTATCGCCGAGGAAAGCGAATATGGGAGTCGTATGCGGAGCCGTGATTTCAACACCGGATTGGCGGAGCTTTTTCAGCTCTTGCCCCGGTATCGAGCCATAATCTGGTTTTAATCGGTACGTCGTCGATGTGAAAACGTACCCGACACATGGTACTGTGTGGTCACAATTGAAAACCAAGGCTTGGATGTCTTTGACCCGCCGAAGGGAGACTATGTCGCTATGCTTCACGCCGTGAGTGGAATGAGTGTCTAAGAGGCCAGGCGCAGAGTCATCGCTTTTTTGTGAGTCATCTGAGTGTGCTATCTCATCATCGACATCAATGACCCCGCCTAGATTCAATATCGTTTTGGCGTGTATAAAGTTATCCAATGCTGTCCGCATCTCTTGTGGACAGTAGATATCTGGCGGATCATCACGCTTGACAAAAGCAGGCGACAGCAAGGTATGGTCGCTGTGGCCATGCGTGAGGAAGATGTGCTTGGGCCGTAGCTTGTTGACGCACAGGCCGGCATCGAGTAGTAGATTGAGCTGCGGGATCAC